GATCCTCGATCGTTGGGATCAATACGTGGGTTATCAAGATCCTGGTTTCTGGCGGGATCCTAAGATAAGATACTAGATTGGCTAAAGCGTCTACTTCAGCATTGTATTCTCTAGGAAATTGGTTTAGGATGAATGCTTCGAATTTAGAGGCTAAATTTTTGAGGATCTGGAGATATAATACTAGTCTTTCTTCTTTTACTGCATAGGATCCATTAAAATGGTTAGTAAATAATAGAGAATCGAAGAATACCTGAAGATCCTTGTCTAGCTACAATTCCATGATTAGTGCCTTGTATTCTGCCTCATTGTTGGTTGCATTGAACTCACAACCGATTACTTAGGGTAGGATGTCCCCATGTGGCGATTTTAGTATGATCCTCAAAGTTCAGGGGAACTTCCTTTACATCTTGCTCTCTTGTTTCTAGCACATCTCATTCCCCCTGCTTTAATTTCTATGCTTTACATGGTATTGTTAAAGATTTCATCGAATTCTTGTAGCATTCTTTGTATTCTTGTTGATCTCCTATGATCTTCACCGTCCCCCATGGGATGGGCATCTTCACATACCGATGGTAAGTCGATGAGACGACCTTCATTTGGTGGATCCATGATTTACCTAGTATAACATTATAATAGGATAACGTATCAATTACACAAAAACATTGCATGAAGTTTACATCACTATGTAGATAGGCAACTTTATCTTGCCGACTGTGTGTTTGGTTTCACCGCTGAATCCAATCAGCACTGAGGATCTTCTCACTATTTCACATTCTTGGATATTCATTCTTTTAAACATGTCTAGGAGGATAATGTTGACTGAGGATCCTCCATCGATAAGGATCCTTCTGATGTAATGATTGGCGATGTAAAGGGCGATCACTAATCCATTATGGTAAGGATCTTGGATGTCTTGTCTATATGCTTCGTTGAAGGTGATCTCTTTCTCATTTGTGATTGACGTATTCTTCCATGACCCTTCTTCTTTTTCTGTTTTTGAAACCTTGGTGTGCCTCTTTGCTGTAGAATTAGAGGTACCACAAATGTTAGATCCTCCAGAGATCAAATTGATTACCTTGGCATCGACAGGAGGGGATCCTGGTTTTTCGAGGATCTTCAGAGGATTCTGATCTTCTCTTTGGATCTATCATTTTTTTTCAAAGTATTTCTTTGAGATATCCTTTGCCTAAGAGGTAGCTAATCTCCTTTCTAAGAGTTATGCAATCTTCTATGATATGATCAAATTCTTCATGGTATGCACACAATTTGGATTTGTCTTCCAAGTAGCGGATTTTTCTTCCTTTCTTGGCCATCATACATTGTCTCCATGATCATGCATAAAAAACATTATACCTGAAATATCTAAAGAAAAGCAATAGTCAGTATTCTTAGGAAAGTCTTCTTCCTCTCCTTCATCTTCAAGGGCATTAACCCTATGATGATCAGGTTTGGAATATGGTTTTGACTTATAGGATCTTTGGGCCAAGGAGTTGACATTCCTATTGGGGTGATCGTATGAGCTTGGTGGGTTGTTCCTCTTTTGGATCTCCTTGTATTCTTAGAGCCTTATGAACCTTAGTGCATGCTCCTAACTTCGTCCATCCTTTTACATGGAGTCATTACAAGGTGTTCATAAAAAAATAGAGTCCTTCTTTAAGCTCATTTTAAAGGCTTCAACTGTAGTTGCCATGTCAATGTTGGGGATATTCAGAGCTTCCCTGGCAAACCTGTTCACAAAAGTCCTAAGGGATTCCTTAGGATCCTGAATCAGATCTTTTCGAATGTTATGCTATAAGAAAAATGATTGTTAAATAAATTAACTAAGTGAGCAACAAACTAATAGAGTAAGGAGGAGCGTTAAGAAGCCATTTTAAAGCTAATCTTGTGAGGTTGAACCAAAAGCCTTGCATAGACAGGCTGCTTTTAAGTGTGTGGGAATGGGGATGATCTCCATTCTTTCCTTGTACTGTGTCACGTGCTCCTTAGGATATGTAGTCCCGTCATAGGGCTTCATGCTGGGGTTTGGAAGCGCTTTGTGACTTCAGTATCATCTATTGTCGGAATAAATCTTGAGATCATGTGGCTTGTGGGGATACTTCTGGTATAGGTTGGACCACTCTAGGCACGCTTGAGATCATTCGCCTTAATTGTTGAAGTTCCTTAGCCATGATCGGGCTTAAAACTGTATCAAGGTCCATAGAGCTAGTGTTAAAAGCATTATTATTTATGAAGTTACCAGGATCCTTAGTATTAGGCGTAAGGGAGGTTTCATTGGGATCCTGGGTTATGTGAGTTCGCTCGTCAGGAGTAGCTTCCCAGATAGGAGCGGATGTTGGTACTAAGGATCCTTTGTCCCAGTGATTTCCGGAGGATCCCATGCTGTTGAAGTTTAGGATCCAGAGTTGCATGATCGAGGGTGAAGCTTCCTGAGGTTAGCGGATTTTTTCCCTCATTCTTTCCACTTCCTTGGTTACCATCCTGTTATCCTTTTGTTGCTGAGTCACAACAATCTCTTCATCATAGCGAAAAGCTCGTTGTTGGAGACTTTTACCGGAGGATCCTAGGGCCGTGGAGTAGTGATTGGAGGAGTGTTTTCTTTAACATATCAGGAGTCTTTTTAAGACCTCTAGTTGGAGGTGGCTGAAGGTTTTTGGAGGAAATGAAAGTAACTGAGGAAGAAGATAGGATCGGTTGCGTAGACATGATTTTCCGAAAGATTTTGAACACCACGCCCCCACGGAAGGCACCAAATAGTTTTGGTAAAAAATTACGCAAGTGAAACTTAACCAAATTGAATGAGAGGCTGTGATGTTTGAATTGATGTAAGCAAAAAACTATAATCAAGACAACACGAGGGTTTACAAGGAAATCCCTTGATCCTTGCTAGGATCTACGGCACAAAACCTTAGGAGGTGATAATGATCACCTACCTTGATGATTTTAGTGAAAAAATATTGATTACAGAGATGAATGTGTAAATTTAAGTTCAAGTATTGTAGATGAGCTAATCATGTCTCTGGTGTGTGTAATACAAGTGTCATCTATAGTCTAATGCTAATAATAATAAGTCTGATAATTCTGGGATCCTACGAGAATCAACATATGAACGTTGTTTGACTTGGTATTCCTGGTCTTTTGCCTAGTTGAGACGATTCTTTGTTGAGAATAAGTCTTTCATTGACTAATTCTACACACGTGCCAAAAGAAATTAGATTATAATCGGTATAGCTGTTAGTAAATAATAACGATAATAATCGGGATCCCAAGATGTGTTTAAGGATCCTGAGCCTGTAACAATATTAAGGATCCTGAGCCTTTGGAAATATTGAGGATCTTGAATGTAATTCTGGGATCGTGACCCTAACATCCATGGTCCACCAATTTATGCCAAGTTGTTTTGGACTAAGAATCGGTTCCAATTCGGTATGATCGCTTCGGTCTAAATGCCCACCCATACATTAAACTAGTAAGGAAAGAGATCTTGAAAGAGTTTTAGAGAGGCAAAATGGTTATGTCCATGTGGGAGCAAACCATGCCATCGTAGGATGATAAATGAGAAATAATCGAAAAGGTCCGTGGATTGACTCATAGTATTCAAAAAATGATTTCATAACTATATATTAGTAAGAGTGGGGATAAAGCGTGGAGAAGCTTCAAGCCTTGTTCAATGTCATCAGTGGGCTTCATCAAAGGGTGGTGATAAAGCACAATCTAATTGACAACCCCATAGCTTTATGAAAGGAAGTGAAGTTTGTGTTTTGTTTAGTATCTTTTTGGCAATAACATGGAGGTGTTAAGATTGTAAGTTGTTTTGTTTTGGATCTTTTTGAAAAATGGATGTGTAGCATTTTCTTTTGAATCGTATGCAATATAATAAGTATTGGCTCATTCTTGTTATGCTTCAAATATCGATCGCCTATATCAACTTGACAGGAACAAAATCGATAGGAAAGATACCTAGCAATTGGTTCTTGAGTTTGCCTTTTGATTTCTACTGTATGTAGAAGGAAAAATCAAATACAGTGGGGATTAATGTTTTACCTTCGCTTAAAAGAGAATGCCACATGAAGCCTTCTTTAATGAGAGGAGAGGAGACGAGAAAAAGGGAGATGACGAAGCGTTCTTGAAGGAGAAAAGATGAGACAAGAGAAACACATACAAAAGAAAACATGATGAGAGAAGATGAATAATTTTATCTTGCTTCTAGATGTGATATTAGTGCCAAATCTGACCCATGTGTGAAGTGGCAACCAATAAATCAGTTAAAACCTATTCAAACAGCTAAATAGTGTAAAAATTGAAAGTTTAGAGACTTAAGGGGTGTTTGACAAAGTTTAAAAAATGAGTTTTTTGATTTATTATCGGCTTGATACTGATATAAGTAAAAAAAATGTTTGGATAAAAAACAATTTATAACTGTTTGTAACCTCTAATAAATCAAAAAATGATAAGTAAAATAATCCTTACTTATTAAAAACTTCTTATTTTACTGAATAAGTTATAAGACAAAAAATTATAAATCTATTCATATAAGCTTTATCAAACACCATCTTAATTAAAAATATAACCAAGTTAAAAAAATTATGATAAAAAAGTCAAAACTCCTTACTATATAGTATCCCAAGCTAACTTTAAGGAAACAAAATTATCTAAAAACAAATTTCGCTATTATAAATTAGATAAAACGTAACCAAGTTAGCTTTCATTTTTCTACGTACGAAACCAAATGAATGTTGTCGATATATTTTATACTTTTTTTTTTGGAATTTTCTGTCTTTTTTTACTTTTTTTTTTAAACCGTAAAATAAACTCTTAACAAGACGAAAGGACTAATAAAGAAATAATAAATATATGTATCATAATCGCAGATGTATATTGCAAAACTATATAAAATAATCCAAATATCTCAGTCAGATTATGGCCATCTAAAAATCCCCATTAACTAATCATGAATCTAATATACAAACCCTTTTTTCCTTCTCTTTGCGTATGGAATAGAACTGTCATATGTGTGAAAAGTCAGCGACTCTTTCTCTTTCTACTTTCATCTCTTTCTTCCAAACCCTAAAAACTGTCTCTTTCAACACCCCTCAAGAACTCATCTCCACATGTAAACAAAAAAGTAAAAGCAACATCAGCTGCATCTTCATTCTTCAAACCTTCACGTCTGTTTGGTGCAAAAACCACAGAAATCTGGTTGTTCATAGCAAATTTTTCTTGAGGTTGATTCTTGATCTTCTTTCCATTGGTTGACAATGGAGAACAACTATCTTGGTGATTTAGCGGATATTTTCCGGCCAGGCAGTGTAAACTCCGGCGATCCTCCGGGGGTTTCAGATTGGCAATACTTTGATCAATCTGATCAAGAACCACAGATGATCCAAAAGTCAACAAGAATCCATGATCAAGCTGGTTTTGGTCAACCCTTCACGAGTCTTCTTGCAGATCCACTCGTTCATGAAGGAACTTCAATTCCATGCTTCTTTGGAAACAGTTTAGATGAACTTGAACAACCTACTCCAGCAGCAAGAACACCTTTAGGGTTTGATCATGATCGCAAGATCAAGGATAACCATAACCATAACCATAATCATAATATATTTTCAAAGATGCTGCAGATTTCACCAAATGCTGCAAAGTCAACTTTTTCTTCAAATAATGATATCATCACATCTTCTTCTAATTCTTCTTCTGCTGCTGCTGCTTCATCAAAACGTTGCTTGCTGGAAACTTCCTCCACCACCTTACAGATCTCATCCCCGCGAAATCCGGGCATCAAGAGAAGGTAAACAACTTGATACCCTGCACATATTAAATTCTTTCTTATTGGAAACTGCTTCAATGAAATAATATATAGGAAGATCGCATGTATATTGCTTCATAACTGATACACATATATTTTTTAACTCACTTTTACAACTTCTATGATAATTTTTAATCCATTAGATACATTTACGTATTTAATATAATAATACTGAAGGTAAAAAGTCTTGCATAGTGTATAATAACAATGAATTCGATATAAATGGCTTCGTTGGAAGTCTAAGCGATCCTTAAAAACACACATGATAATAATACGATTTATTAAAGACTTGTTACTTTACAAGCCAAAATTAGAAAATAAAAATTTTAAAATGTATACTAAAAATTCAATATTTTGTAATTCAAAAGATTCTTTATCGTTAGATATTTTATTTCAAATGTATAGTTTTCTGTGCAAAAATTTTATCTGTAATTCATAAAATTTCAAGATTAATTTATTTTGATTATCTTTTTTTATGGATATTTAAAAAACGTACTTTTCCTATGTTTCATTTCATTTACAGAAATAGAGAAATATGTTACAAAACCGCGATATTGTTATTTATTGTCTGTCATCTAAATTAAAAACTCAAAAATGATTTATGGTATATTTTACTTTTCACAACATTTTCAACAGTACTATTTGTTTGATATTATTTAATAGCTTTTTTCAAGGGTAGATTTAAAATTTATTATCTAGACATTATTGAAAGTTAAGATTTTAAATATATAATATCATTGATCTATTTATATCTAACAGTAACATTTTCCAAGTTTGTTATCGATCTATTTTTATATATCTTATAAAAAATAACGTTATAGTCATAATTATATGAACATTTTATTTTACTTGGAACATGTATAATTATGTTATGTTTCATGTATATATATGTGTCATTTCCATCTCTAAAGCAATACTTTGTTTGCGTTATTTCGGATTATTATTTTTCATTTTTCCACAAATCTTTCTATTTTTCAATGATAAGTTTGTTTTAAATAAAAACTTAAAAGATTATGGTTTATATACATCATTTCTTGAGTATTTTGAACAACTAAGACTGTGTTTAGCGTATAGTAACTAATAAATTAATTTATTTTTTGAGTTTTCTAAAATTGTTATGTTAGTAAAATAAAAAACACTTTATAAAGCAGTTTTTTTAAAAAGTTATCTTGGGGTTTTTGTGAGTGTTTTTCAAAATAACTTAAAGCATGTTTAGATTTCATCTAAAAATTCATTATTAATTTATTAACTTCTTGAAAAATCAATAAGTTTTAAAAAATGTTTGACAAAGGAAAAAGACATTTTAAAACAATTTATATTTAAGCCTATGAAAATCAATTTTTTGAAAAGTCACGATTTATAATTTTTGAAAAGTCAGGATTTATAATTTTTGCAAACTTTTTATGACATTGATTTATTAACTTTGAAAAGTGTAACTTTACATGTAACCAAATATTTTTTAATTTATTGATTTTTTTCACCACAAATCTAATCCAAATAGTTTTTAAAAATTAATTTTAATTAACTTATTTGTTTTTCAAAAATTCAGTAAATTAGAAAAAATATTTGACAAACATTAATTTTTTAAACAAAAACTGATAAAATAACTTTTATAAAAAACCAAGGATTCTTGGTTTTTCCAAAAATGATAGAAAAACACTCCAAAACAGCATTAGATTAGCTTTTCAAGCGTTTTTTTTAAATATTATAGTATACCCTTAATTAGTTATAAAAACACTATATACTAAACGTTATTTTATATATTTCAACTAAATTATGAGTTACTTTTAATAAATGTAATTTTTTATCAATTAACTTATAAATTTGCAGATAACTTTTGCTATAAGTAACTTTTCAATTAACATCTAACAACCAATAAGTTTTTTTTAGATATCAAACATAATCTAACTCATACAAATACAAATGACTAAGGACACCTAAACTTAATTACAAGTTTACAACCCATTAGGCTATATGCCTCTTGGTATACTGTTTACTTATTGTATTGTATTATGGAGACATAATTATATCTACTCTTTTATTTTTATTTCTATTTTATTTTATTGAACAACTAAAATGTTGAATACTATAGCATCAAGAATTATTGTTGTTGGATCTTTCTGTTATCTAACAAAACAAATATTGACGATTGCATCATAAAATGGATTTATTAGAAAGTATAGCATTTTTCTGAGCTTCTTTTTGTTACTTTTCTAATTTCAAAGTTTATTTTATTTTTATATATATTAAAAGACATATTAAACAAATAGTTAATTGATGGCCAAATATTCATTTAGAGTTGGTGTTAGGCTCGATATTAAAATTTCATCAAAAGAAGAGAACAATCAATATATATATATATATATATATATATATATATATATATATATATATATATATATATATATATATATATATATATATATATAAAATACAGATTCGACATGTAATTTAATTATTAATATTTCGTTAAATTTATTTTAATAAAATAAACAAAGAACACATATTTAATAAATATGTTAAATAGAGCTAAATAAAGTATATTATATTTAAAAGAAATAAAAAAATACATATATATTTTTTATTTCCTAATAAAAAATAAGTAATTTAAGACAAGTTGATAGTAGATTTGAAGCTCAATAGTTCTTAATATGTCATATCATATGATTGAACGTGAGTTCACTGTCACCAAACAGTGGCAACATATGAAATGGAATTTTAAGTTTCCATCAGCTTTTGATTTTGCATTTTTTGTGGTCTCAGGTATTTTTTTATTTTTCACTTTTTCACCTTTTGGTTTGTTCATTCTTTTTGTACCACCAAGCTCTCATTTTGTCTCTCGATTAAGTTACAATCTTAATTTATTTTTGTTTATTTTTTAATTCTTTTAAATGTATTATCAAAATTTTAAAAATTAATTTTTAGATAAATTTGAAGTTAAATGCAACATTTGATTAGGAATGCAAAAAAAAAAAAAAAAGTTTCATTTATGAAAAGAAAGTTCCACTTTACTAAATTTCTTAGGAAATGTATATCTTTATCTTATGGGTTAATAATTTATTTATATGTTTTATCAATTTAGAAATTAGTTATTTCTATCAATTCAAATATACATATTTTAATGAGTTACCCAATGTTATAAATACATGTACACCTACTTTATATATATATATATATATATATATATATATATATATATATATATATATATAATAGAGATTAGTTTTAAGAAAAATGATAATAATAAAAAAAAGATAAACAATAAATTCCGAACGAACCACGTAATTTAAAATGATTGATGAAAGTAATTGATATTTTCTATTGACCCAAACCAAGTTTAATGACATGATGTCAGTTCTTCAATCCGTTTTAAATATATACATGTTTATTTTATATTTTATTTAAATTACAATTTAACAAATAAAAATGTAGTTTCCGGATTGTTTAATATGCAATAGTCAAAAGAAATAATATGAAACATTTGACAGTATAAAAAAATTAATGAGTGGTTCTCACAAATGAATGAATTGAAGCATTCTTCACATAATACAGTTTTTTTTACCAGAATTAATTTTCATTACATGAAGTATGTTTTTTAAGGAATATGTATATATAACACAATTATAAATTAACTTTATCCATATATTCTTCAATAAACTTTATTTTAAGAAATTCAATTCCTTTAATAAATATTTTTTATTTTAATTATATATATATATATATATATACACACACACACCTAGTTTGTTTTGTTTTAAAGCTTTTTTAGATTAGAAATATTATTTTTCAACTAATTTCAATATAAATATAAATATATATATATATATATATATATATATATATATATATATATATATATATATATAGGGTAAAATGAATATACCTAACAACCTTATATAAGCTTAGGTACCTAACCACATCATACTATCATATCTCCATTGTAATCACCCAAAGTTCTTAAAATTCAACCTCATAACTTGATTGCTTCCAAAATCTGTGGACCTTCACCATTATCTTCCTTCAAATGACGTCTTTCTATCGGAGACCCCCTGGTGGGTTTCATATACTACCGTTGCAAATCAAATGGTGTAGGAGGAATATAATGGTGAATGTTTGAAAATCTTTGAAGTAAATCAAGTTAAGGGTTGAAGTTTAAGAACCTTAGACGATTGCAATGGAAATATAGTGCAAAACAATGTAGTATAATATGGTTAGGTACCTAAGCTTATATAAGGTTGTTAGGTATATTCACTTTACCCATATATATATATATATATATATATATATATATATATATATATATATATCTATATATATATATATATATATATATATATATATATATAGTTATTTAACAATTTATTTTTACTTAATAAAATAATTTTACAAAATAACATTATTTTATATATTATTAGTTTTACTTTATTCATTTTTCTATTTATTAATTACAATCTAATATTGTATCCATTTCTTTAAGCCTAAACAATTAAAATGAAATGTAAAATTTTATTATCTTTCATTTTATTATATTATTATATTGTGCATTTTACTTTTTTCATTATTCCATTTTGTTATATCAAGCAATTATTATTCGCATCTATATATATATATATATATATATATATATATATATATATATATATATATATATATATATATATATATATATATATATATATATATATATATATATAATTAACGTTTTTAGTATTAATGAATACTATGATACTAAAATTGGTGTATCGTTAAGTTTGTTGTAAAGAATGATGCTGAATTGAAAAATGGTTACCTATATTTTATACAAAAATATGTTGGGTTAGATACGTCTTTATGTAAAAGCTGTTTCAATTGTAGTTTATTGAAAAGCTTTTTACTATTTGAATAAAATTTTCAATAGTTTTTAATATTGGAGTCGTGAGTTTATTTAATAAGTCGTCCAACTACTTAGTAATCTCTACATTTTAATATATACTTAGTAATCTATTTTATGCATTTTCTTCATGGGTTCCAAGTAACTCTTTGATTCATTAACCATTAAGACGGAAGAATGAAAGTAAAAAAATCTTTGATAAAATCATAATATTTAGATAAGTTTATGGTTTAATTTTAAATTTTATTTTTTTAAAAAGATTAGTCATGATTATATTGTATTTTATCTAAATTAATGAAAAAGTTTTAATTTTTTCAATAGAAAATGATAGATTATCATATAAAATTAGATAATTAAGACTTTATGATAAAAAAACAAATGTTGAGATTAAACGGTAAAATAACCCAAAATATTTAGATTTTGTCGTAGATTTCCCAACAAAAGATCACCAAACAAAAAATAATATTACCTTTATCTCAAATTAATTGTTCATATTTGACTTTTTGAAGTTTTTATTATTCAATTTTAACCTTAAATATTTTTGTTTTTTTAATACATAACACTTAATGCAAAATATATGAATGAATTGTATTTTAAATGTTTTTTTCACTGTTATAAGTTTTATCAAATAATATACATTTAATTAAAATAATTAACTATGTATCAAATATAACAAATATTATATACTTTATGCATATTGTGGTTATTACAAAATATTTGTTATATTGATACATAATTAATTATTATTATTATTATATATATATATATATATATATATATATATATATATATATATATATATATATATATATATATATATGTGTTCAATTGTATCTCATTTTAACTTTGCTACGAGTTTGACAAAAATGGTTATTCCTTTATATATACATGTTTTTTTTTGTTAATTTTGCTCTTATTCTTTAGTTATTTTGACATCTTTTGTCCTTCCAATCAAGATTTTTACATTTTTTAGAAACCTTTTAACATTTTTAACATTCAAAGTTTGGCCACAAAACTTTAAAAAATTGACAACTTTGGCCGCTTTTCTAAAAACTTTCTAATTTCAACCTTTTAATTATTTAGTCGTTTTGACATTTTTGGTCCTTACAGTCTAAACTTTTATATTTTTTCATAAAAAATACAAAAAATGGCACGAGGCAAATTCCGGGTTTGTCCTCATATTTAGCTTTTATTGTTTTTTCCTGTCCGTTGCACTTTCTGTCGGTTCTCATTTTCTTCTTTTGGTATATTTTTTATATATTGGTCCGCATATTTATTTTTTTTGTTTTTTTCTACCTCTATCTATTCGTCTCCGTCTGTGAAAATTAAGGGTTATATTATCCCACTTGTATCTTTTAACAAAAACAAAACTAAAATCATAGGCGGCTCATACGAAACAAGTACAACATATCTAATTTTAATTAAATGTATATCAAATCAGATATTTATTTAAACAATTGGGTAGTTATAGTAACCATGGTTACACTTACATGGGCAGGAAGAGTCAGGCGAAGAAAGTAGTGTGCATACCGGCTCCAGCACCTGCAAATAGTAGACCCACCGGCGAAGTGGTGCCGTCGGACCTTTGGGCCTGGAGGAAGTACGGCCAGAAGCCTATTAAAGGGTCTCCATATCCAAGGTACACAACTACACATACACCCATCTCATATAAAATTATCATTTAATTTTTTATATATGGATAATATATGAATGTACTATGACATCTATAGATGGGTTTTCATTGGAAAATGGATAAATAATCAATAAAATAAATTGACTTTTTTATACCATTTTTTATCTTTTTTTCCCATTTGAATCCAAAATAGATTTTATTCTGATTTATACAATGATTTTTTAAGTTGTTACTAAGATTTTATAAATTTATAAATATATAAGAATCAACCTCATTTCAAAATGGGTAAAAACCTGTAAGAATTTTAAAATAATATTTCTTTTTGCCAAAAAAAAGTAAACAGTAAAACATGATTATATAAATATACATTTAACTATTTTTCGATACATAAATTCACGTAACAATTTAATGGATTATACAATATATATAAAAAACACTTGGTAAGACTAAAATTCAGTTTCCATTTTGTAATTAAAGTCATGAAATCATGTATATAAGTTAAATCCATCATGTAATTTGTAATTACGATCATCAATCGTGTATATAAATTCTCAAGAACCGTTGAATAATTAATTATCTTCATGTTTTCTATCATATAACACATGAAAATCTAATTTTTACATTCCTTCCGATCTGCTATTTTTTTTAATAAATACAAAATAATTAAAATCATACAAAACTAATTCAACAAAGTATTAAAAACATAAAAAACTATTTTACAAACTAATTAAAAACATACAAAAAACTATTTTGATACAAGTTTTTATGCATGGAATACACCTTCATAAGTTTGAAAGAGAAATAATTCAACGATTTAATGAGGCCGTTCACCATTACCACTTTAAATACCTATTTTTCTCCTAACTTGAGTCCATCTTTAAAGTATTAATTATCTTCATGTCTTCTATCATATATCACTCCTAACTTGAGTCCACTCTTAAAGTATTAATTATCTTCATGTCTTCTATCATATAACACATGAAAATCTAATCTTTACATTCCTTCCGACCTACTTTTTTTATTTATTATTTTAATAAATACAAAATAATTAAAATCATACAAAACTAATTCAACAAAGTATTAAAAACATAGAAAAACTACTTTACAAACTAATTAAAAACATACAAAAAAACTATTTTGATACAAGTTTTTATGCATGGAATACAACTTCAAAAGTTTGAAAGAGAAATAATTCGATGATTTAGTGAAGCCTTTCACTGTCACCATTTTTAACACGTATTTTTCTCCTAACTTGAGTCCACTCTTAAAAGTATTATTGCCTTTGTCCAAAAATGTTGTAGTTTTATAAATAATTTATTTTTTTAATTAGAGTTTAGATGCACTGACTTATTTTTTTAGTTAATTCTATTTTATACAATGTATACTTTTTTATAGTATAAAATAGTAACATAGTTTAAAGTTTTCATTTTAAGACCAAATTTACCTTGAAACCTGATTTGATCATCATGTCGTGATATATTACACGGATTAAAATATAAAAAATCAAGATTAATGGACGAATTAAATGTATTGTTATTTTTCATATTACAAAATGAACATAAACCAAGGTATTTTATAAAAGAGTAAATATTTACCAAACTAAAACAAATTCTGCAAAATAGGTAAACATAAAAATTATAAAGCATTGACGTAGAATTATCAACCATTCCCTAATTTCAATCAAATATTTTCACCTCAATTATCTGTTTCCGATACTTTAAATGTTAATAGGGATTTTACTTTTTCTTAATTAATATCATAATCTAATTAAATTTTCATGCGCATATTCAGAGGCTATTACAGATGCAGTAGCTCGAAGGGTTGCTCAGCAAGAAAACAAGTGGAAAGAAGTCGCACAGACCCTAACATGTTGGTCATCACCTACACCTCTGAACACAACCATCCATGGCCTACTCAAAGAAACGCCCTCGCCGGCTCCACAAGAACTCCGCAACCACCAAAGTCCACCACCACCACGGAACAACCACCACAAATAGAAACAACAGAAGATGAAGGATCAACCCTAGTGGGGGTAAGGCTTGAGGTGAAAGATGAATTACAAGTATTGGAAGGAAATTTTCCTGCTCAAGGGTACCGACCGGAGTTGCCGGATCAAGGTGGAGGTGGTGGTGGTCAACCGGACGATTTCTTTTCAGGTTTAGGAGAGATAGAGGTTGATCCCATAAGCATGTTGTTGAACCAGGGTTTCTTGGGTGGTGAAGAAGAAGCAGAAAATTATAACAAGGATTTGGATCCTTTTGGTTGATATTAACAAACAAAATTTGGATTGATTAATTTCCCCAAAAGAAATTTTATTCATTTGGTGTTGTATTATCGAGTAAAGTATATTTTTTAATTTTTTTAATTTTCTTGTGTTATATATATAATTTTTTGTCAATTGGTCTTTACCCTTTCGTTTCGTTAGAAATTGATGGTTTTGATAGATTAACTAATGTTTTCGATAGATTAATTATATATTAGTAACAATAAAACATCACATTCTATTCTTTTAATTGAAGTGGATTCAAATTTTTGTATGCAAGACTAGCCCACTTCATAGAAATGTTTAAGCTCAAACATGGGTATAAGTTGATTAACTAACTTTGATGAATTTAAATTTTAACCACTTAATTGGCCATTTAAAAAAAAAAAATCAACCTTAATTTTAAAGGGATATTTGTTATTCAGGGTATGACACACGACTCAAGGTGTACTATAGTGGATAGAGAAGATGACAATCGTTTTGTCCCACTTCCACTTGGACACTTCTGCGCCTAGTTTCGAGTTTTAGTAAAATAGAAAGAAAGAAAATGGAAATAAAATGAGAAGAAAAGGTAAAGGATATTATATTTTGGACTATATAGGTGAGGAGATGACAATCGTTTCGTCCCGCTTCCCGAGGAAGCTAATTAACTAATTTGATGAATTTAATTTTTATCTGCTAACCGGTCGTTAAAAAAATTAATTGTTATTTTAAAGGGATAATTCTTATTCGGGGCATGACCCAAGACTCGGATGGAGGGTGGTCTATAGTGGATAGGCGAGGAGATGACAATGGTTGTGTCCCTCTTCCGCTGTGACATCTTTACACCTAGCTCTGAGTTTTAGTTAAAAAATAAAGAATAGAAGACGAAATAAATGAGAAGAAAAAATAAAGGAAATTGTATTTTGGACTATAGTGGATAGATGAGGAGATGGCAATGGTTTTGGACCAATTTGGACACTTAGTTCTGAGTTTTAGTAACAATGGTTTTGGACCAATTTCACTCTGACACCTTTACACTTAGTTCCAAGTTTTAGTAACAAAGAATGAAAAGAAAGAGAAATAAAATGGGAAGAAAAAAGAAAGGAAAATGTATTTTGGATTTGAAGGCTTACAAGATAACCAAACATGTCTTTCCTCCAAATCCCTCTCATTTGTGAACATATGGAAGAGAAGATCATCATTTATCAATTCTTATTTTCTCTTTAATTCCTTTCAAAAAAATATCGGAACAAAATAATTTATTTTTTTCTTTATTGTTCTCTTCACTTCCCTTCTTTCGTTAAGTTGGACTTAGAAACAAGGTGTTAATGGATCCAAATCATTGTAAAGTCGTCGGTGCTTGGTTTTGACTAACAAGTAAGTCAAATAACCGCTAATATAGTTTGATATATCAGTATTCATCGTTGGCCGCTAGTAAAAGGTTTTAAATCCAAATATATCTTAATGATTCCTAGATGCATCAAGTACTTTTGATTTTATGAGCCTTGTCAAATAACATTTTTCTTACATTTCTAAATAATGGTACTTACATACGGCCTTGAAATGTTTTTATCCCATTCACATTCTTCTAAAAAATTATTGATCTTCCTAAATTTTTATTTCTTCATATTCTCATTTCTTGATGCATTTAGTTGAGCTTCCTTCAATATTTCCACAACGGATTACACTACTTCAATCCTCAAACATTTAAAATGTTTCTTTTCACTTATTTCTTTTCTTCCCAACGCATTTGCTAGCTACCATATTTGTTTTACTAGGGTGATAAACAATCTCACAAACATAATCTTTAAGTAATTCCATCAACCATCTATGTCTTATGTTATAAACCTTTTAACTAAATAAATACTGTAAACTTTTGTGATCGATGTAAACTGTAAAGCTTACTGATATGTATTTTATATACTGGTTTTATATTTATAACAAGTACTTAATCACAACTAAGGATTGTTACACAATTAGGCAAGTGTACCAATCCCTATAACAATATAGTGGTGGTAAGATTGGGATGTCGAACACTTGGGTACCATTATTGCGAAAGTGCGTAATGGATGAGGATGCAGTGGTTTCCTTGGATGATATTCAAGTCGATGAGCGCCTGAACTATGTTGAGAGGCCGGTAGCTATCTTGGATAGGAAGATGAAGGTTTTGTGTAGCAAGGAAGTACTGTTGGTAAAGGTACAATGGCAACATAGGACGGGCTCCGAGTGGACCTGGGAGCAGAGGCTGAAATGCAGGAGCATTGTTCGGATTTGTTCGTTGCGGCAGACTTCGAGGACGAAGTCTAGTTCAAGTGGAGGAGAATTATAACATCCTGATGTTCATGTATTCTAAATTAATCCCTATAATTCTATTTCATGTAAATTGGTCAAGTGGTAGCACCCTTGGGGATAATTGAGGTTTGGACACAACGTGTTGGACACACCAACATGTTGTGTCTAGATATAAGAAGGCACGGGTTGCATTTTGGGCAATACGACGTTTCCTCTTGGAACGTGGCGTGTTGACGGCTGGGATGAAACCCTAATTTTTTGGGTTTTACTCCTTATTTAAAGGAATGTGGAGGCTAAGCTTTGTTCAACTTCATCCCCTATCATCCCTTCAAGCCCTGAAAGAAACCCTAATCATTTTCGCTTCCAATGCTGAAGCTAGTTTGGTGTTTTGAGGCTAAAAGAAGGAAGAAGGCCACATTCTACGGTTTGGCGCTCTCTTGGACATTTGTAAGTATCCAAGACTCGATTTTTATCATTCAAAGTTGTTAGATCTTGAGTTTTCTCCCTTTTGCTCCTTGTTCTTGAATGTTGCAATGGATGGATCTCATAAAGTTTGCAACTTTATGAATCTCCAGGTAAAGGTGACTTTGTAGTGTCTTGGATTTGGTCTATAACCAAGTTTTGATGCCATGCATAGAGATTAGGTCATGAATCCTCATTTAGACCTAATATGAGTTCAAGACATGCATGTTTAAAAAGCACCAACATTTGGGATGGTTTAGGTGTTAGAAACATTTTTAGAAAGGATGGACTTCAAATATTAAGGATTAAGAGTATTTTTGTAACATCCATAAAATTCGTAAAAATTAAAAACTTTTTCAAACATCCAAAAGCCATTAGTTATTACAAAATATTTTCAAAATAGTTTCATATCTGAGAATCCCAGAAATCAAAATCATAAAATGTGAGGAGGTGCACGATCAAGCCTTCGCCTTCTCGCGATCAACCGAAGTACCTGAAACAAAATCTAAAAATGTAAGCCTGAAGCTTAGTGAGTTTCCCCAAAATACCAACACCATATAACAAAACAATATCATAAACAAACAACATGCATATAAAGTCTTCAATATGACTGGACCGCCCTCGTTGGGCCTTCAGTCTATCTGGCCCACTCTTAGAAGATTCAACATGTCTGGTTCGCCCTCCCGGGCCTTCAGCCTATTTGGATCATTCTTCGGGCCTTCGGCATGACAGGTACCCCCGATGGGCCTTTAGTCTATCCGGACCGCCCGGGGTCTGTTGGCCTAGAGTACAAAGTAGGACCACCTCAACCCACCTGTAATCACACAATCAAAACATAAATATCATACGCTAGCTAGCATACACAAACAGTCATACAGATCTAACAGATCACTAAACATAGCATCATCCTATATACCAGGATACCGATCTAACAAATCACTAACATAGCATCATCCTATATACCAGGATACCGATCTAACAGATCACTAACATAGCATCATCCTATAACTAGGATACAACCCAAAAAGGTCTGACATTGGTGCCTTCGACCCTATTAGTATAGTGACGAAAACTCGCCGCGTAAGTAGTGTTGAACCGATAAAGTCGAATCCCAACTTACAGCTCCAAACTCAACTGCCTGTAACCACTATATGACTAATTCCATTAAAATCCCAAATTACCAAAATACCCTCAGAAGTCAACCTGGTCAACCATGGTCAATGCCACAGTCAACAGTCAAGGTCAACAGTCCATGTTGACCCAACTCGTCGGGTGCATCTACTCACTCGTCGAGTTCCTTCATATCTCTGTAGATCATAAAAAAGCTTGAGACAACTCTCCGAGTTACCAGAGTAACTCATCAAGTTCTTCAGTGTTTAGAATTCACTCGATATCCAGAAAGCGGGAAAACCCTATCCAACTTGTCGAGTTGGCTAAGCAACTCGTCGAGTTTTCCTATCTTAACGTATTCAGCCCTTTCCAGTCGAATCCAAGGCCCCAAACTACATATCTAACCCCTTAGGAATGAGATACCACGTAAAGCTGCTAACTTTACGTGCCTACAAGGCATCAAAGGGATTAAAACACTCCTATGAAGCTTATTATGGGTTTTAGAGCATGAAAGAGGGCCATGACTTAATAAAGTTGGCAACTTTAAGTCCAATGAGGCCCTAAGATTCTCAGATCTGACGTCCTAGCTTCAAAGCATGCTCAAGACCAAGAATGACTCAAGAATAAGCTATAAATGACCATAAACTCTCTAATGAAGAGATCTAACAAGGAGTGATCAAGATGGCGACTTTTTTCATCCAAATGGTTGCAAAAAAGTGAAGCTCCTAGATCTAAGGCCTTCTACGCTTTCCAACTTCTTCAAGCTTCTAGTTTCCTTAAAAAAAACACAAGATTTACTCTCCAAAGCTCACACACACCCAAAAAAACAAGAAATCCCAACTAGGGTTTTTCTCTGGACAATAAGGTGATAAGGGAGGCCGGTAAGGGGGCTTAAGGTCCTTTAAATAGGGTGCAAACCCAAAAAATTAGGGGTTTCGTGTACAACCTCAACTCATCAAGTTGACATCCTCCAACTCGTCGAGTAGGTTCCATAATCCTTGCAACCTTATTAGTTTCTACACAATGAGTTGGGGCCTCCAACTCGTCAAGTAGGTCTTATGTGATGAATAAAAATCTTAAAATTTCATACTTGGGAGTCGGCACCACTTGAACTACACCTCGTCCTCGAAGTCTGCTGCGGTGAACAACTCCGGATAATGCTCCCGCATCTCGGCCTCTAGCTCCCAAGTCCACTCGGATCCCCTCCGATGTTGCCACTGTACCTTCACC